GTATATATATATATATATACACACACACACACACACACACACACACACTTTTTTTTTAAGATTTAAACACTACCATCCTGTGGAAACATGAACAATTAAATGAGGCACAGTAAAGAATTATTTGTTACATTGTCTAAGGGTTAAAATGTTGAAAATGTCTGAAGATCATAAAACTAAGTCCAATAGAGACATGACTATATGCATTAAAGAGCCTTTTACAAAGAGACAAAACAGCTGCTTTGAAAGTTTGTTTTCTAAAAGCAAAATCTGTAGCTGAAAATTATTTAATGTGCAAAGTTATATTGCTGATACTTTATATTTCAGTTTTTTATATTTTATAATAGTCTCGGAAAAATAATAAAATAGCTATAAAATTGACGCTAATGATAAATGAAGTACATAGATTAAGAATTTTCCTAAATGTTTTATTCCAGTTTTGTAAAAACTGCACTCATATGATGCTTTTAGTGTTCTTTAAGTGTTGAATTTTGCAATGCCAATGTCATTTAAAGAAAATACTAAGGCATCTCAGTTAAACCAAATTTTTTTCCTATGAGTTAAATACATATTCTATCACATAAGCTGAACAATTTGTAGCAACAACTGATTAATTAATGTGAGGTTAAATAGTATTTGATGTCACATACTAAACTTAAATATGAATTTTTAATATAAAATTTTAGTCATTTTAAATTCAGCTCCCACCTTTTTAAAAAATTTCACTACTTCAAACATCCTTCACTACCAGCCTTTCTTCCCCTTTATTCACCACTTGACTTCTAACATTTGATGTCTTTTCCTTGCACAGTTAAAGGCCTATGGGTCTGATGACTGATGCTTTATGGCACAAATGAGATAAAGGGTGTGGAAGCACTTTGTAGATCATAAAGTGCTATACAGATATAGGGGATTCATATTATTAATGTTGTTGGTGGTTGTTGTTGTTACTCTTCTTACTAATATTGTTACTAACCTATTAACTTGTGAATATACAGACTGGGGTGGGAGGGTGGAGAATAAGGGGGTGGGGAAAGGGGCTTAATAAAAAAGGGATTTAAACAAAAATATGAACCTACCTAGTCATTGCCACCTAAATATATTCACAGAGAAGCAACATTTTAAAAAGTAGTCAGAGAGAAATGGAAGGAAACCTGTCACATATATAAATAGACACACTTCCCAGCCCATGATTCCTTTCACCAGCTGGCTCTCCTACTTACAGCTAGATAGTAAGATGAACAAGCCTATATTCTTGATTTTGTGTTTTCTCAGCATCCGTCTCTTGTGTCTGTGGGGACCAATGGGTAAGGATCTGTTTGTAAGGCTAGTTCACATCCATTCTTACTCTCTTTGTGGGATGAGCCCTGGAAAATTACCAAGTGAAAAGGCACCAGATGAAACATGTCTTCTACTCTACAGCTGACATAAAAAGGGAAAATAATCAAGTTGAAACACTTTCTTCTATTTCTCTACTCTTGTAGCTATCTATCTGTACTAAATATTGTGGATAGTTACTAGGAACTTGTCTTTGTTTTGTTTTTGTTCTGTTTTGCAGGTGAATTTTGGCTTGAAAGCACCACCTAAGCTTGTATTGTGATCTCCAAAATTCCAGGCCTCAAAGTCACATACAGAAGGAGAGTGCTTTCTATGTAATCAAAAGGTGGCAATTAAAGAAAAAATAGAGAAAATAATCCATGAGTACAATAGGTTTTATAAAAATAAATATAAGAAAAGTTGTCCCAGGTTTTTTAAAGTATCATTTCAGCTTTGGAGAATAGGGTGACAACAGAGTAGAATAACCTTAAACTGTTGGAAACAATTTCCTTGTCAGAACTTGCTATCACGAGTCCTTTGGAGTAGATATTCTTTTCGCTTGCTCCTATGGAGCCCATTAAGGGCCAATTCTAGGGCATGGTTTATCCCTTTTTCCAAAGATTTGCCATTTTAAAGCACCTTTTTTATTGGCCTATAGTGTATTATATGTTTTATCGCATAAATAAATGATTTATAACTGCTGGTTTGTAATGAAATATAACCATAAGCTAAGTTTGAAAAGTGAGCAGTAGGCCAAGGCACAGATGTTTATTCTCTTAATTGCACTTAATATCCCCCTAGGTACTCTATATTTTGAGTTGTATAGGATTTAACATTCTGCTGGTCCTGTTTCTGCTCTCATAATTCTTTTATTCCTCTCACAACTGAGTAGACCAAATTTATTGGGGATTCCTAATCAACTAGCTGCCTTAGTGGAGAGAAAACCAATGTATAAAAGTAGCGTCTTGCCCTGTCACTGATATCTCAAGTTAGAAAGATTAAATTTTCCTTAGTCTGAAATTTGTAATAACACTCTTCTAACCTCTCCTCTCTGAGAAGCTGCTTCCTATTAATACCTCCCCAAAAGAGTATCATTTCATCTTTTTTTTCCTGGAAATGATATCCTCCCTTATTCTTCTTAGTCTCAGTATTTGTTCTTAGAATTTTTCTTCTTTCATGGTCCTGTAGTTTACCTCCCCAAACTGTCAGTCTAAGAACTTCTGGAACTTTAAAGGGGAACCTTTCCATTCTTAATCACCTCAGCCATTTTCAAATTTAATTTTACGCACCCACAATCACATCACTGAGGAAAGTAAGAAACCGCTTTTACTTAGAGATCTATAAAAATAGGTTTAATATCCTACCCTGGTTAGGTGCTGACCATGTGGAAGAGGGTGCTGATACAGTGGCCCTGGCCAAGGGTCTTTGAGACTTTGGGGTTTAGGCTTGGGCTGTGATAACTGGCTTGACCCAGTGGCCATCCTGTCTCTCCAGTGTCTCAGATACCAGCTGCCTCACATATGCTGCTTCCTTCCAGCTTCCCCTTCTGACTTCTTGCTGCTCTGTGCTATTATGTGTTAAGGCCTTACCTTTTCCTAAATGTCTAAATGCTTTCAAACCTCCTGTACTACCTTGACCATCACTTCTTCAGCCATTTCCTTAAAGTCCTTGGTGCTAGGTGGGCTTTTGTGACAACTTTCACCTTCTCTGAACTTTTTCCTTGCTGGGAAGCATCTGTGTGTGTGCAGGGAAGGGGGGTGGGCGCAAGGGAGGGGGGCAAATGTGTGTGTGCATGTGCGTGTGTGTGTATAAGAGAAGTATAAAGGATGCTTCAAAAGCTGTAAACAACTCTAGCTAGCATTCTCTGTTCTGTTATGTGAAGTTCTGCAGTTCTAGTGAATTTTTGTTTCAGTGGATTCAAATTATCATTTACTGCCTAAAGGAGAAAAACCATAACCAAGGACCTCTTTAGCCAAGAATCCTCTTACCAAGCTAAACATGTGATGCACACTTGTCACATCTTCATTTACAGATGCTCTCAGAACAGTCCCACAAACTGAAGAGATCTAAATTTCTGTGCTGAAGAGGTAAATAGAACACTAACTAGTCCTAACTATTGCTAGAACTAGAAATCTTTGTTTTCTCCTGTATTATTGACAAATTACCTAATTCAAGGAGTTGTTGTTTTCATTTAGGGATTTTTAAAATGACTATCCATCACTATAGAAATATATCATTTTTACAAACTAAAACTAGTGTGAAGTTGGTTTGTTTTCTAATCAAAAAATTCACTGAGCTTGTAATTATGTTTAGAAGGTTTAGTACCAAAATCAAACATTTTAGCAACAAATAGAGGTCTTGTCAACACAGTGTAGGCCAGGGATTTTGTAATGGTTTTTTTAAAGGCCCAAGTAAGGGAGAAAACTTTGAGTTGGGATGTTTAATTTGGGAGAAACACTGACATCAGTTTGAGGGTCCTCAACCAGCATGTGATTATTTTCATGAAAGTACTGAGGCCACCCTTTAAGGTACATTTTTTGCTCAGCATTAAACAGTAGCTACAGTCATGAAGCAGAGCTCCCATTGCAACTACATGATACTTGAGAGATGTACTCATGGTTTGAGAATCATAACTAGGAAGTAAAACATTGGGAAAGGACAATATAAAAGAGAGAGGCTTAGTACAAAGTTTAAGGTATGAATGAGGATTTTTAAATCAGTATCTGGATAAATAACTGCTAAAGACGTTGAAGAAACACGTGAGATGAAAAGATGTCCATCTAACAAACTCAGGGGTTTCTGAGCCTTAGGAGGACATCTCATTCAAAAGAAAGGATAAATCTCAATCATTATGCCTCTTTGAGAGATGCCTGGTTTTACAGCACAAAAGAAAAGGCTTGAATGAAAACTAGAAGAGGCCTTTGTTTTTTTATTCCCAGTGAAGAGGGTAGACATCTTAAGATGCTCCACTGGGAAACCTGTAGCACTGACTAGAGTTTGCTGCCTACAGTTTTGAATGTACTAGTCCTTATTTCTGTAGAACTGAATGCACCTCTTTACTGATTTATGGTGCTAAAGAAAATGATTATCCTGATTTTTCTTCTTCCCCAACCCCTTAAATATTTAAGAAAATTAAAGTAAAAATTTAAAATCCCTTTTTATGAATGTAACCTAAGTTTATGTTTGACATATGACACTGCAACTTTAAAATGTTAAGAAATTATTTGCCTTTTTCTTTCACAATTAAGCTTTATAAATAATCTGTAGAGTCAATTGAAGTATAAAGCTTAAGGATCACTCTTAAGACGCCTACAAAATCTTGTATATTTTTAAGTGTGCCAATTT